GTAGTCATGTGGCTGGCAGGACTAAACATCGAAGGCGCATGGAACGCTGTTCCCTTCCCACCAAAGGTGGTTCCTATTTTTCTACTTGCATTTTTGACGTGCTTTCGAACTGCTCGGTTGGCAGAAGCTGGGACAAGTCACGAGAGCTCACTTTGTTATGTGGCGCTAGGGATTCGAACCGCCGAACTGCCCACCTTTCTGATCGACAAGCTCAGAGTCTTAGCCACTGGGAGGCAGAGTAACAGGCCTGCAGTGAACGTTGCTTGTTTCTGGCCAGTTTCTTTGCACAGGCAGTATTGTTAATTGTGCTTTAAATTTCACACCGTGCCTTCTTTTAATCCTTTGATGCTCCTGGCACGAAGAAGCCAACTCTCTCTCTCTCTCTCCCTGGCCTGGCATCTGCAGGGCTGCTCCTCCTCTGCCATATACTAAAGATTAACCTGGGCAGGTGAGATGGCTCCCCTCTTAAATCCCCCTCCCCACTTTCTCTCCCCTCGGCCAGGATCTACGAGCAGCTGCCCGAAGTGCGCAAGAGACGGGAAGAAGCCAAGAGAAAATCGGAATATTCCACCAACCGCTTGAAGGCCCAGCTGTACAAAACGGTGGGTGCCCCTTTCTCCCCCCTCCCTCCCTCCCTCCCCTCAAAGCTGGTGGGGTTGTCCCCCTTCTCAGGAAGCAAGTCAGAGGGGGATTCGGAGCAAGCAAGGACGGGGATCCTAGACTTGGGGGCGTAGGAGGCGTGAGCTCCTTGGGGTCCCCGATCTGGATGCAGGCGGCATCTTAAAAAAAAACGTGAGCTCGGGGACGTTGCAGGGGGCCGCGGACTGAGCCCCACCAGGCAGAAACTCCTCGGGGGAGAACGGCCGTATGTCTGAAGCAGCGGGGCATTAAACAGGAGAGAGATTTCACCTTCCCCGGGGGAGAAATGCTGGGTTTAATCCTGGCCAAAGGAAGGAGCATCGCAGAGCCTGTGGGGGAAAAGGAAGTGCCTGAACCACTAGGGGGCAGTAGAGCCTTTTTCTTTCTCTCTTTCCCTCTCCCTCTTCTCTCTCTATCTCTTTTCTCTCTTCCTTTTCTTTCTCTTCTTTCTTTTTCCTCCTCCCTCTTCTTCCTCCTTTCTTCCTTTCTCTTTCTTTCATCTCATCTTTTCTCTTTCTCTGTCTCATTTCTCTTTCTCGCCCCACTCTCCTTCCTCTTTTTTTCCTTTTCTTTCTCTTCCCCCTTTCTCTTCCCTTTCCTCCTTCTTTCCTCCTTTCTCTTCTCTTTCTTTCTCTGCACTCTTCTTCCTCTACTCTTTCTTTCTTTCTCTTTCCTCTCTCCTTTCTCTTCTCTCTTTTTTCTCTCTCTTCCCCCTTCTCTCTTTCTCTTCCCTTCCTTCTCCTTTCTCTTTTCTTTCTTTCTCTCCACTCTCCTTCCTCTACTCTCCCTTCCTCTTCTCTTTCTTTCTCTGCACTCTTCTTCCTTTACTCTTTTTTAATCTTTCTTCTCTCCTTTCTCTTCTCTCTCTTTTCTCTCTCTGACACCCCTTGTCTATTTTTCTCCTTTCTCTTCTCTTCCCTTGCTTCTCCTTTGTCTTCTCTCTCTCTCTCTCTGTCTCTCCTTTCACACACACACACACAGACACACACAGAGAGCCCTGGCCTTGTAACCCATCACACAAGTTCACACAAGTTGGGTTTTCCTCTATCTGTTCCTCCCCACCACCAACTAAAACCCACGTGGCACGTTTTCGTGGGTCTTTTCTCCCTTCTCTCCCCCCCTCTCCTCCTCCCCTTTAATCCGGACCCTGCCCCTGTCCTCGTAGGGCAAAGGGACCAAGAGATGGGAAAGGACCGAAAGGGGCTTCCTCAGATTGGGGAGGCCGGGGGGGGGGGGCGTCCCTTCACCCTTACAGGTTTCTTCCTCTCTTTTCCAACAGAAAATCACCAATCGTGTCTTGGGAAGGAAAGTGCCCTGGGAATGAGGCAGAAAGAAGGGAAGGAAAAGGAGAAGAAAAAAAAAAACCCAGAGCGACGGACGTCCTGTTTAATAAACCTTATTGCACGAAGTAGGGTTTTTAACCTCTTTTTTAACATTTTTTTTTTAAAAATTACGAACTTTGTGCCTATGACGTAGATTCCTCGGGCAGTTTCCCTCCCCTTAGATTTTCCTGACCTTCCCTGGGGGGGGGGTGTTGGGGCTTCCCTCCCCTGCCCTCCCCCCCCCAAATCATGCTCCACCCTTGCGTTTTCAAACCAATGTATTTAAAGATTTAAAAAAATAAATCAATCAAGAAACGATGATTTTTTTTTTTCATATTCTGCCTGCCTTCCCGCGGATCAAGGCTTTGTCGAACTAATTGATCACCAGTGCATTAAATGGGTGGTTTTGTGTATTGAAAGCAGCTTTTGTTATTTATATATATGTTTGTGTGTGTGTGTGTGTGTGTGTGTGTGTGTGTGTGTGTGTGTATNGGGTTTTCACAGCTGTGCCAACATGACTCTTTTAATAAATTGGAACTTAGAGCAATACTTTGCCTTGGACTCTGATTTAATTTTGGATGTTATTTGGAATTCTTACACACTATTTCACTGGGTTTTGTGTTCTTGTTCACAACCATTATTACTGCTACTGATTGTTGTTGTTGTTGTTATTATTATTATTATTCATTAAACATGAAATTCAGTTAAGTGAACATTTAAAGATGTGTCACAAATACCATTGACTGGTGCTAATGGTTGATACGGATTGCTACCAGCATTCTAGGTATCAATCAAGTATCTTCTTAAAATATATGATATTCCAAGTAGCTTAGTTTTTTGCCGTTCCGCTGGTGTTATTGCAGGAAGCTGCAATTTCTTGATGTGTTTTGTAAAATTCTTGGACATGGTGCCAAGTGCCTCAATGACAATGGGTGTCACTGCTACATGTTTCATACATAGCCGTGTAGTTTCAAATTATTATTATTATTATTAAATGTTGGTATGGTTACCAACTCTATCACTGACAATTATTGGCCAGTACCCATTGGATAACTCCTACTGATCAATTTTAAAGTTGCCCTTTCATGTTTTTTATTTTAGGACCAGCATCCAGTTCAAGGGAACCCATCTCTGTTCTGTAGGTTCAACTTCTCCCAAAACATTCCCCCGTGTCTTGTGAATTTAAATCTCTCTGTAGCATTCCTTAAAAGTGTTATCTTAGCAGTTCTATACTATGACCTGCTACTTAACTCCTAGATCAGGACTGTCAAACCGCGTTGTCACATGACATATTGGGACTTCTTTCCTCTTCACTAAACCGGCCGGGGGTGTGGCCACCACTTGAGGCATCTGAGCCGTGAATTTGACAGCCCTGATCTAGATAGACAGACTGATAAATAGATAAATAAATAGATTTTTGCCAGTGATTAGACAAAACAAAACATATACAAACTAAAATAAATTTTTATTTTTCTGTTCTCAGGAAGGGAATGGACCACAAGCACTATCCCCAGGACGATCTAAAGTTGATTGAGATAGCACAGGATACCTGCAACCTTTGTAGCAGATAGGCAAATCAGCATGTCACCTAGCCATCTGTCATAAACACTCATCATCTTTATGTAACTTACCCCATAAGAAAGTTATATAAACATCAGGAAACCACAACATGGAAAAAACAAGGTAAAACAGATTAGCTCTAAGATGGCAAAAGAATATAATAACACTATCCTGATAGCAAAACCCCAAAAGATCTGTAGGCTCTAGCAATAAAAATTAAGGAACACAGTGAAAAGAAATGGGATTCAAACTTAATATAAAGACAATAAAGAGGCAGACCCTCTGGGAAGGAAGGTCTGTAAATGGTTGATAGCTTCTGCTATTTGGGGTCAACTATCAACAGTGAAGGAACAAGCAGTCAAGGGATATATTTCAAATTAGTACTTGGTAAAGCAGCCATGAAGTTCTTGGATTTATTGAGATTCTATGATGTGCCTGTACCTACAAAGATCCCAACAGTGCAAGCCATGGTATTCCCCATGACATTCTATGGAAGCAAAAATTGGACTTTGAAGAAAGAAGGCAGAAGAGTATTGATGCTTTTGAATTTTGACGTTGAAAAAGTCTGAGAATACCATGGCAGCTAAGAAAAGAAATGAATGGATTATCGAACAAGTCAAGCCTTGAGTTCTCACTTGGGACACAAATAACTGGCTCAGACATCCTACTTCAGACATGTCATGTGAAGATCTGGCTCTCTGGGAAAAGTTCTAATATTGGGAAAAGTGGAAGGAAAGAGATGTGGATGAAAAGGATGAAAGTCATGGACTCAGCTACAGTGACACTGAGTGCATTGTTGGAAGATCTGAAAGATCTGTTTAGGGATTCATTGTCATGGAGAAACTCTACGTGGTCACTGGGAGCCAAAAGTGACTTGACGGCACATAACCACTCACACAAAGTTGAGTTAAACTTAACTCCTTATGCAGGAAGGGACCATCACTTGAATGTAGCCAGCGGATCCAGTTCAGAACCAGAGAAACCTTAATTCATATAGGGCCATGATGGCAAACCTATGACACCTGTGCCACAAATAGCACGCAGAGCCCTCTCTGCGGGCACACTAGCTGTTGCCCCAGCCCAGCTCCACTGCGCATGTGCCTCCCACCAGCCAGCTGGTCTTTGGGTCTCTGTCTCACATGCGTGAGGGTGCGGTGCATGTGAGGGGTGTGCATGCACATGTACAGGGGGGCAGTGGGCATTCATTTTGGGGCCTCGTGCAGTGCCCCTGTGCCCAATTCTGCACCAGAGTTTCAGGCCCAAAACGGGGCGCGGAGGGCCTCATACCAACCTGGAAGCCAAAAATAGGTGTGGGGCTGGGCATATATAAGGGAGGAGGACACTTGCATTACATTTTGGGTTTTCGAGCATGTGCACTTGCTTTGGGCACTCAGCACCTAAAAGGTCAACCATCACTGATATAGGGGCATCAGCAACTCTTTATAAATGTTCTCCCAGGTTAATCTTTCAGGAACAAAATACTTAATGAAAAAACTGAACTGTTCCCAGAGTCTCCTGTTCAGATTGCATTTTCCCAAAATAGTCTTGAATATCTGAATTAAAGCTAAAACATTTCTGATATATGAACCTTAGTTATGCTTTCTTTTGGGGCAAGGGAACTATCCCAAGTTTTGTCTTTAATTTTTTTGTAACAGCAACCTTTGATACACAACAAATTTTTATGTTTTTTATAATAACCATCCAAGGATTATTCCCAAGTGATACCTCTTTTCCATCTACCTTGACAAATACCCAGAGAATCAGTCTCCTTAATTTGGCTCCCTATCTTCAATGTCTTCCATGAAAGGTTGCCTTGGGAGTATTGAGATCTGAATTCTGGGCCCCTAGTGAACGGATTGGAGCCTGTATTCATTAGTGAGTCTGCCACCCTGTCTAGATATATATCAAATGCTAATTATGCCTGCCAAATATTGATATGCTGTAATGTAATCGTGTAATGTACATCATTAATTAAAATCTACCAATTTAAATGCCATAAAAAATTGCTCCAGGCGCCACTGGCAGTAAACAAGCTTTCACAATAAATGCACAAGGCTTTGATCATTTAAGTTAACCTTGGGTGATTCTTCCTTCTTTCAAACAATAATAGCCACTGTCATCAACCAGAAGCAAAACAATCAAGACTACAAATATTGGTCCTGTGCATATTTGCTCAATTTAAGCATGACAGGTCATTTAAGTAACCTGTCGTGCTTAGAACTCAACTGATATTTCACAATTTGAACATTTAAAGTTCTTTTTCTAAAATATATGTTGTTAACCTACCTAGTAAAGCATTTGTAAGTGTTGGACATTGAGATTTAATGAAGCATTGCATTGAGTAATTTATCCCGCTGTAGAAATCCAGGAATTCTATGCTGGAAAGTATATAGGATTGCATGCAGGTAAGTGAGTGTGCTGCCAAAAAAAGAAATAGGCAGTTCCTTTGTATCAGCATGCTCAGATTCCCAGTAGATGCAAAGTAACAACTTTTCTTAACAGGAGAGAAACATAGTGAGCTGATGAATCTTTCCATATTTGTTTTAGGCGAGATAGAACACACATGCATGCATGTGTGTGCGCATGCACATATGGAGGGAGGGAGGGAGGGAGAGACAGAGAGAGAGAGAGAGAGAGAGAGAGAGAGAGA